GTAATCACTTTCTACGCAATGATTCGGAAACGTTGTGTTTCTGCTCGACCATGTGTATACTAGTATCTTGTAAAATGGACTGTTAAAATAGTATTAAACTCTGCAGGTATTTGAAACTTGTCATGTCGCACTCTAAATTGTGTAAACGGGGTCAAGTCATTCATCCACAAACACGTGAGGTTGCCTGCAATGTCATTCAGTACATGTGTACTATTTCCGACAGCACACACAGTGCACTCAAAAAAGCCAGCGATGCTACTGGTATATCTGTCAGTACCTTGCGCAAAATAAAGGACGAAGGTAAACAGGGGCGTAGCTACCATCATGAAATAAAGCCCGGGCTCACACATGATTTTGAAAAGTTGGGCAAGCTCTCAACACTAACTAAATATAAAGTTTTGCAACCTACCGGGCTTACACGAAAAAAAATTTAAGAATGTAACTAATCAACCTTAATCTTTAACATTGGGCTTATATTTCATAGCCCTGGGGATATTTTAGTCTGAGTGTTTTTTGCTCCTTCATATTATTTTTCAGCGAATTCATTTGAAATTCCACCAGGGGTGTGACAGCAAGGTTACACGAATGTTCAGTTTGAGAAATATTTTAAAGTCATTTTTGAGTATCTGCTTTGGGATTTAATGCAGCTGATAGTTTTAATAATTTTTTGTGTATATTCAATAAAACAATTCCCATTTGTGATAATTAAACCCTATTAAGAAAATTAACATAATTGGAAATATAAGGTGAACAGCTGGTAATAATTACATTAGAATATGTCTAACAAATATGTTTTTCTCCTTCTTTTAGTTGTATCAAAGAGGTTGAATTATTTAAAATAAATAAGTAAACAAACCCAAAAAACAACAACCTAGCAATACAATGTACATGTGCTTCGGTGATATTAAGAAACTTTGGAATCAAACAGGGATAGAGTTATCGTTCTTTTTTAAAGTAGTTCTGATGTTCATTCGCCAATATGAAATCCTTCCAGAGGGGCACGAGTCGCTATTCGGCTTGTCCCGGAATAACACGAGTTGGTCACGAATGTCTCTCACCGTCAATCGCATGATTCTTATTTAAAAAATTATAATAGGCAGCAAAATCCTTTTAGCTACGTTCTTTGTACTTTCAATATGACGATATATATTTTCATGATCCTTTAAACAATGACATAATGCCATAAACGATTTAAGTAACTCGGGATTATTTTTATCAAAGCATCGCGCTCATTTACGCGCGTTCTGATTGGTTTGTCGTACTTTCGCACATAACAAGTATCGAGTGGGTGACGAGTCTTCTTGGAAGATACGGAAAGGGGCGAGTGGTGACGAATGACCAGCAACACAAACCTCTGCGTCTATCGACCGCAGAGCTCGTCATCACTACTGGGTATAACAAGTATATATACTGAGTCAAAAAAGAAACTTCACATTCTTTCTTCAGGGCACTATAAAAGAACGAGAGATGGTAAGATGGTTAAATTGTTATTATTTCATTGCTGAGGATCTGTGTGATGTACTCGATACACTGACAGTGCCATAATCAGTTCCATTAGGCTACACCGCCGTTCCAAAACATGGGTATGCAGAATGTCAAGTCACAAGAATAAAAATGCGAAATGTCTCCGTTCAATATCGTGTATGGCCGCCCCGCGCATTCACCACTGCCAAACACCGTCTCCTCATCGACTGCCTGATGCTTGTGAACACGTGGTTGGGGATTCTGCGCCATTGCTCTTGCAAGGCAGCGCCAAGTTCCTGCAAATTCTGAGGTTGGTTCCTAAGACCACGAAGCCTTCTCCCAAGTGCATCCCAAACGTACTCTATTGGATTAAGGTCAGGGGACCTCGATGGCCACTCCATGACGTTGATTCCAGCGTTTTGAAGGAAATTTCGTGTCAACATCGCGGTATGCGGCCGAGCATTATCATGCTGGAACTGTAGACCTGGGCCATGAGCCGCCATGAAAGGAACGAGTTCAGGGGTGAGCACCTGGTCGTGGTAAGCAGCAGCTGTGAGGTTTCCACGGATGACCAGAAGTCGGGAACGGTTGTTCCCACAGAAAGCATCCCACACCATGCAACTTCCGCCCCCGAATCTGTCGACTTCCTGCCTGTACACAACATTGGGCATACCGTTCACGACGTCGTCTCCAGACTCTATGTAAAAATGGATTCATCGCTAAAGACGAGTCGATTCCAGTCTCTCTGGGTCCATCGGAGGTGACGTTGGGCCAACAGCAGACGTTGACGTAGATAAAACGGCGTCAATATTGGCCCACGATATGGACGTCGAGAATGGAGATTGGCAGCCCGCAACCGATTTCGAATGGTCTGTGAGGACAGTCGACCTCTAAACATCTCAGCCCTGGTTCGTGTAGCCGGCAGAAATCTGTCACTTAGGTGACGTAGGACGATTTGGCGGTCTTCTGCTCGTGACGTCACACGTGGACGACCCAACCTTGGGCGATCAGAAGTGGTGCCAGTTTGTTGTAGACGACCACGCAAGTCATACACAGTACGACGGCTGCATCCCATTGCTCTTGCGACGTCAATAACTGATCTTCCCGCTTGCAACATGCCAACGTCACGTTCACGTTGCACATTTGACAATCGTGGCATTTCAAGTACCGTTAGAACTGTGGTTTAAAAGTGTTTTTTCAATTCTTGAGGCCAATGCAAACACGTGCATATGAAGAAAACTTCGATGCGAAGATCACGTGATCGACTGCACGTGCAAAACCTGATTTGGCACTAACGTCATTTGCACAACGAATGGATGGGTTTGAGTGGGTTTTGCTACCGTTTTTCTAGAGTCGAAAGATAGGGATCCCATTTCGGATACATAGATGTATCATCAGAGAAAGATTATCCATTATTTTTCAAATTACATTTTGTGAAGTTTCTTTTTTGACTCAGTATATATTCGGATCCTTTGGGGTTGGTGGGTGGGTAGGTAGGTAGGTCAATTGCATAACTTATTTTGTGAAACATTTCAGATCCCCATGTTAACAGTCTATTTTTTAACAATGTAGATGAAGAATGTTCAAGCTGACCTGTATTTTTTATTAGAGTGGCAGGGTAAGAGTATTCTACTTAATCTCATCAGGGATTTAATTCCACATTGGCGGGGAATAATATAGACCCGTGAAGGTCCGGGTTAGAATTGATCTTCAGTAGGGCGGGATATTGCCCTGATTCTCATATTGCGATATATTGCAATAGTCTAAGAGATATTGTGATATATTGACTGGAAGGTTTCTGTCCAAGTGCGTACATCATAAATTCATAATAGCTCTCTGTGTGCGACATCATCTTCTTACTTGCTGTTACACCATATCTTCAGGCTTCCTGCCCTCATTATGTATGGCTGTATGCCAGTGGTGTACAGATAAATGATATAGAGCCGTAATGTGGAATGTTTCATCGAAGTAACATCAAAGTTTTGCGAACATAATGATAAAGGTAATAGTATAACATGATTTTCATGGTCAGTGCTGTTTGCTTCAACAGAATGCACTTCAATGCAGCTAGTCTGTCTCACTGTCCCTGAACCACATTAATTTCCCTACTGCCAAGCTTTCTCTGCAGTGCTAAAGCCCTAAATAAAGCAAGTCTAGATTTCCTCAGGTTCAGTGTCGAAGTGACATTGTGGGCTTCAAGTGTCCCAACAGGAAAATGTTAGGCAGTAGGGGCACTTGACTGGCCCACATGAGGTGATGACAGCATGGAGATAGGACAGGGCTTAACAGGAGGGCCAATATGCCTTTCACTTATAGCGTTATCTGATGGTTGTATGATGTGACTTCTAATTGGTAATGACCCTAGCACGTGTAGCCCCAATGCAGATGTTCTTAGTCTCTGAATCTCTGGTCTCCCTAGGGCTCCTTATCAATATAAATGGGTTTGTTTGTTACTATCAAAATTATATATATTCAGAGACTAAGCCTTAGTCTACAATGCAGCATGTGATTATTGTTACTGTATGTCAGTGATTCATTCAGATTCAACTCCAATATAAACATGTGTTAACATGAACTGTTGTAAAATGAAACAAAAAACATGATTTAGGTGAACTTTTATCTTTAAAATCTCATGTGACCTCCAATAACTAAGATCCGTGACTAGAATGTCATTATACAGTCCTACAAAATTGATAAGATTTTGGCCTTTATCGTAAATTGATAACATATGTCCCATTTTGATAAAAACAACAACAAAAAAACCAAAATTATGTCACTCAGAGCCAGTAGCTACTTATAAGTCCAAATATAAGATTGGTCAAATCTTTGAAGGGCATTTAAAAGTGGAATGCATAAGAAAAGCAAGATTTATGGATGTCAACTTCTTTATTGTGAATATTCATGACCTGATGAAGGAGCAAGCATACACTCCAAACCGTTGTGTTATTCACAACAAGAAGTTGATATCCATTACTGTTGCTTTTCTTAAAACATTGGTCCATTTGAGGCCACTTAATTCCACCCAAACGTCACATATGAAACCATTCAAAGCCCAAAATTTAAAGCATTTGGTAGAATATTTGGCACTTTTGGAGCCACTTATAAAGACACTTCCACTTGTACAATGTTACATAAATCAGAAAAGAAACAAAAGTATATTTGGCATTTTTAGAGCACATTTTGTTGCTATGGAAATCAAGGGCAGATAATTCAGAAGGAGCTAACTCTGGATGATCCAATATATTGCAGAATCTGAACCATATCGCGATAATCGTTTCGCGAGATACTGTACCGGTATATACCGGTTTACCGGTAATATTGCACAGCCCTAATCTTCAGTAAACCATACATGTCGTAAGAGGCGAGTAACGGGATCGGGTGGTCAAGTCACTGACACAAGTCATTGTATCCCATTTGCGTAGATCGATGCTGATGCTGTTGATCACTGGATTGTCGGGTCCAGACTCGAATATTTACAGACCGCCGCCATACAGCTGGAATATTGCCGAGTGCGGCGTAAAACTAAACTCACTCACTCAATTCTGGGCGTATGTACACAGCACCTAAAACAATATCATTACCTGACACTAATGGGGATCATAATATAATCCATGAGACACAATCTGATTTGTTTGGCAATACCTGTACATACTTTGACATGTTACTTTTTACTGCTATCAATAACCAACCAGATTTCAAACAACCTGAGTCCCGTTAAGATCCGTGTTAGAATGCAATGATGATATCCGGAACGCAGCGCAATCAACGGAAGTGGATAATGATTTGAAAAGAGGAAATACTCTCTTTCTAGAACCGCATTTTAGTAAGCTCCCTAGCCCCAGTGGTATCCACTTATTCAATTTCGGACCCAAACCCGTGTGTGTGTGCGTGCGTGCGTGCGTGCGTGCGTGCGTGCGTGTGTGTTTGCAACCCCCTTTTGTCATGAAAGATTATTTAATGACCATTGAAAACAGGTGAAAATTGAAGTGTGCCCCCCCCCCTTCTCAAGAGTGTGCAACCCACCCCCACCCTCTCCCTCCTTTCTCTCTAAAAAGCTGTATCCGCTTCTGCTCTCCTATATCACGGCGTCTCACATTGTACCCATGTGGGGAATCGAACCCGGGACTTCAGCGTGACGAGCGAACGCTTTAACCACTAGACTACACCACCGCCCCTGGACTCCAGAGTAAACATTCATAGTTTTTCACCACACATCAGACCGTTAAACGCATCATTAAATGACGAAATGAAACAGACTTACAGTCAGCCTGACAGCAATAGCCAGCTGTTACACACTCTGTTCCATTCCTACAGTCATTGTTGGTGGTACACCTGACCGGCTGACCCTTCCTACTTCCGGTCAGGTAAACAGCGGGATCGCCAACGGCGCACACATCCGGGGCTTGGGCTGAAATAATACAAAACTGCAGTTGGTCACCAGCCCGCACAAAACGCTTCACATTGGGTTGATTATTATGTGGACAGTCACAGCGATTTCACTACATAGTCGACATTTTATGTGAACATTCTCTCTAAGAATTACATTTTGGCGAAGCGAGTCGTGGGCAGCAAAAGGACCGTATTTTGTTTTACGGAGTGGTTGGGAGCTCCTGGCACAGTTTGGACTCATCATAAGCACGGTTACCCTCTCTACAGGGAATTCGGGCAGCAAATGGGATTTCTCCCAGGACGCGCTGCCTTGTCGATCCCATCAAGGTTTGGTTTGGTTGTTGTTTTACGCCGCACTCAGCAAATATTCCAGCTATATGGCGGCGGTCTGTAAATTATCGAGTCTATCGATACGGATGACATGTGTCAACCAAATCAGCGAGCCTGACAACCCGACAAGCATGGGTTGCTGAAGACCAATTCTAACCCAAACCTTCACAGGTTGAACCATCAAGAATGATAACGAAAGCATCCATCGAGTGATCGAGTGCTACAACCAACTGCTGGAACTTAACTGCAGGCTGGAGCAGGCTGCAGTACTATGGCGGATTATCTGTCAGCTAACACGTGGAGTTCCTCGATTGTGACAGGTGTGATGTTTTGGTAGTTGTTGAATGGACCAATTAAGAAATGTTCGAGTTGTACTAGACTGACGCTTAGGCCCTGAATATATCATTTTGATTGTAACAAACAAACTCATTTAAATTGAAAAGGAGCCCAAGGAAAACCAGAGATTCAGAACCTGAACCTGTGGAAATCTAGACTTGCTTCATTTAGGGCTTTAGCACTGCTGGGAGGGCTAAGCTGCAGGGAAAACAATGTGGTTCGGGGACTGTGAGACTGACTAGAGTTGTACATGTACGACCCGCCTGTAAGTACCAGATTAATATTGCCGACGTTACATAAATGGTCATCGCTCAATATCACTGGGATATGAGGACACGCATCAAACAATTAAAGAACACTAACCACACACTTACATTCAGACAGACCGATAAACAGATAGACATACAGACTGACCTATGTGGCACTTGTCAAGACACCTAACATCTGTACTCTCCAAGGGGTCTCCACTAACTCGGCATGTCAGCCATCGGGCGCATCGGACGTTCTGAAACATCATTTGCGATGAGTACCCTATAGGATGTGTGATGCATTTCTTATGGATGTGGAAAGTGTTTTGTGGCTTCATTTCATCATTGAAACGTTGAAAGTGAGTGAGTGAGTTGGGTTGGGTTTTACGCCGCTTTTAGCAATATTCAAGCAACATCATGGCCGGGGACACAAGAAATGGGCTTCACACATTGGACCCATGTGAACAATCGAACCCGGGCCTTCCGCTTGACGAGCGAACGCTTTAACCACAAGGCTACCCCACCGCCCCAAATGTTGAAAGCTACTCATTTCGAAACTTATTGGTCAGATCTAAGCGCAGTAAACGAACTCAAATGGACCACTAATCTTAGCGGATGTCAACAATTAGGCGGAAGTAAGACTGAGGATATGAATTAATTGTCATCAACCTATGCCCACAGCACCTACCCCCGTGTCTTTGCAAGCATTAAAGATTTTTTTTAAATATATAAAAATTTGAGATGACCCCCGACTCGAAATGTTTCACAGTTCAATACCTACTGACAAGGCCGGACACTTCGGTGCACCCCGACCCGCCAGCTTTGCCGATTGTAAGCAATGTTAATTATACACATTGTAATTCTCAGAACAAATTTCATCAATACTGCATTTTTTGTATTTGTAAGTACATTTAACTTCTAAAAGGCCCTTACCACAACATTTACAATGTACAACACCATCAGGGCTGGCACCAAGATGAGGCATATTTTCATTTACTAATAATCCTGGAACATAAACATTCAAGCCAAAATGGTCTATTTTTTGTTTACATTCATACAATTGACGGGCAAGGACTTCACGCTCTTTTCCATACATTGCTGGTGCTAATCTTGAAGAAGCACAAGTACTACTAACAGCAGATTGGCCTCTATACTCAGACATGACTTGCTTTACTATGTAATTGTCACTTTTATTTTGACTGTAAATCAACCCATTTGGAAAGACAGATGAAGTCAGTCGACCACATCGATACCTAAACCAGTTTTCATTATCTGACTGACCCTCAGAAAGTGAATTAATTTCTTCACAATCACTGTGTGTCGTGTTAAACTTAACATAATCAATGAAACTGGGAGGTGAAATTGTCAAAGTTTTATATACTAGGCCAAATTCAAGCATAGTTTTGGGAAGTGAAATGCTAACTTGACTGTGCTCATTATCCAAGACTTCATTCATTTGACAATCTGTGTCCTTAATTAATTCATGCAATGCATTCTGGACATCAAAACAACATTCATTTCTTGGACGATAATTATTAGTTTTATCTGTGCGGAGTAGTGAAGTAATAATGTCAGCTAGTTTAAGTGGTAAAGACTCTTTCCTAGCATTGTCCCAAACACACTTGACATCTGCAGGTCTCTGTACTCCTGTCCACATGTCTGTCAGACCAGTCCACTATGCTGAACAGTAGGGCAACAACGTGCTTACAAGCACCATCATCACTGAAAAAAATATGAAACAGAACTTATTCAATAAATATTATGAATTTTGGAAAAGATGAAAAAACATTATAGCTTTGAAGTTTTTTTTGTAACACTTCACTTGACATAATTCAACTGATTCTGGGTAGACTACACACAGGAAATTCAATAATTAGTAGGAAAATACACATAAAAATAACACTTACCCTGTACATTCACATCCTGCTGACACAATACAAGCATTTTCCTTCTCCAGTAGACACCAGGTTAAGTAGGCCTTCTCAGACTGTGATGTCTCACGGGTGCACTGGGCTCGTACATAGATATGATCGTGTGTCAAACTATGAAGCTCAACTGTAAGGACATGGCCATCGACATGCAGTCGATATCCCTTCTCCTTCCTGAACCCCTTCAGTCTCTCTTTACTCCAACTTGCATGCCCGAGCAAGTAAACTAGGATGTCAGCTAGACAGAACATCGGAAGCGAAGAGAGTTTATCAGTCCACGATTTCAGTTTGGGCGACACAACCACGGGAAACGTCACTGTTTCGTTGTCAACAACTACCGTACATCTCTCCAAAATTGTCAATGCAGGCTCTCGTCGGACGAGTTTAATCCATCTTCTCCGAAGAGTGGATGCCCTGATCTTGTTCGGGAAGGAGAAAAAAGGTCACCCCCTGTAGCCATGGGTACTTGTTAACTTTTTGCTGCTTTCGCGTCGATGCGGTACAACCAGGAACACAACAGTGATGAGACGGCATCATTCGTGACCAACTCGTGTTATCCCGGGACAAGCCGAATAGCGACTCGTGACCCTCTGGAAGGATTTCATATTGGCGCATGAACATCAGAACTACTATAAGGGTAATGCTATTTTTGAGGGCATTATCATTTGCAGAAGCCCGAGGTCTTCCATTAACTGCCCGACGAAGGAGGGCAGTTGAAAAAAGACCGAGGACTTCTGCAAATGATAATGCCCTCAAAAATAGCATTACCGTTATTATTGCTAAACTACATGGAATTTGTGTTGAAAGGAAAAAGGAAACAATGAAGGAATTTGACTGTAAGTTTACCCAAATCAACTTCTGACGGGGTTGACTGCCCGAATGCAATTACGTCATCGAACAATTCAAGTGACGTCACAACAGAAAGCGACGATATTCGACCTTGGCCTTTGACAAGACCATAGCCTGCAACATGTCAAACTATGTCAGTGTTCGGTTTTGATCCTTCAACAGCCTTAATAGTGCAATTGTTAAGGTTAGCACCAACAAGAAAGCCAATATTACCGCTATTTCAAGCGGGAATTCGGGTTGCTTTGACTTGTTTGACCCAGAATATCTGCCAGTCGAAAGCCAATTAATGTCGAATGAACCGTAAGCCCACGCACCCACTATGACGTCACTTGACAACAGAACTGATAGTGGCCCGTCGTTAAGGTTGAGCGGTCCAATATCATTTGCAGCGGCCCGCAAATTTCTGATAATGGGAGGGCCGTTTCATGATAATTCCATGTATTTTAGCTATAAAGAACGATAACTCTATCCCTGTTTGATTCCAAAGTTTCTTAATATCACCGAAGCACATGTACATTGTATTGCTAGGTTGTTGTTTTTGGGGTTTGTTTACTTATTTATTTTTAATAATTCAACCTCTTTGATACAACTAAAAGAAGGAGAAAACATATTTGTTAGACATATTCTAATGTAATTATTACCAGCTGTTCACCTTATATTTTCAATTATGTTAATTTTCTTAATAAGGTTTAATTATCACAAATGGGAATTGTTTTGTTGAATATACAAAAAAAAACAAAAAAAACAATCAGCTACATTCAAACCCAAAGCAGATACTCAAAAATGACTTTAAAATATTTCTCAAACTGAACATTCGTGTAACCTTACTGTCACACCCCTGGTGGAATTTCAAATGAATTCGCTGAAAAATAATATGAAGGAGCAAAACACTCAAACTAAAATATCCCCAGAGCTATGAAATATAAGCCCAATGTTAAAGATTAAGGTTGATTAGTTACATACAAATACGATATTATTGTTTTGAAACTCGTAGCGATTATAATTACATTTCCTAATATTTGTCGAAGCGCACGTACAATCTCCATAACAAGCCCGCAAGATCAAAAATACATTCAGTTGGACTCATGAGAGCAGTGATGTCAACAAACGCACGTGCGTGTATTTGAATCTCTCACCGTCAATCGCATGATTCTTATTTAAAAAAATTATAATAGGCAGCAAAATCCTTTTAGCTACGTTCTTTGTACTTTCAATATGACGATGTATATTTTTCATGATCCTTTAAACAATGACATAATGCCATAAACGATTTAAGTACTCGGGATTATTTTTATCAAAGCATCGCGCTCATTTACGCGCGTTCTGATTGGTTTGTCGTATTTTCGCACATAACAAGTATCGAGTGGGGGACGAGTCTTCTTGGAAGATACGGGAAGGGGCGAGTGGTGACGAATGGAGACGGCATATTTAAATTAGCGACGGCCTTGAAACAGCCCCACCTTCCGGTGACGTAACGACCTTTCTTCGCCTTTTCTAAAGAGAGAGCGTACAAAGGGACGTAATCCGAAACCTCCGTATGTTCATTCGTGACTAACTCGTGTTATCCCGGGACAAGCCGAATAGCGACTCGTGCCCATCTGGAAGGATTTCATATTGGCGCATGAACATCAGAACTACTTTAAAAAGAACGATAACTCTATCCCTGTTTGATTCCAAAGTTTCTTAATATCACCGAAGCACATGTACATTGCATGTTGTGTACAGGAAGTCGACAGATCCGGGGGCGGAAGTTGCATGGTGTGGGGTGCTTTCTGTGGGAACAACCGTTCCCGACTTCTGCTCATCCATGGAAACCTCACAGCTGCTGCTTACCGCGACCAGGTGCTCACCCCTGAACTCGTTCCTTTCATGGCGGCTCATGGCCCAGGTCTACAGTTCCAGCGTGATAATGCTCGGCCGCATACCGCGATGTTGACACGAAATTTCCTTCAAAACGCTGGAATCAACGTCATGGACTGGCCATCGAGGTCCCCTGACCTTAATCCAATAGAGTGCAATAGACGTAAATGGAACTCTTTCTACATTTCCGTAAAAACACGTGACTGTCTCGTTGTTTTATCCCGTTGATATTATACAAGACTCGATATCGGTTTTTATTGGCCTGAGAAAAACAATACCGACCGAGCTTGTATATAATAAATGGAAATACAACTGTTCAATATAACATCATAGCCTACCTACCGGAGACATTATTCATGTGGTGAGTTAATTGTCAATATATGCCATTGAAGATTAAAACAAATTTGATATGTTTGCATTATCGCTTTTTGTTGTTCTTCGCTAGTTACACCGATCTTATTATGGTTCCCCATTTCTGGTGTCCCCCGCCGTGATGTTGCTGGAATATTGCTAAAAGCGGCGTAAAACCAAACTCAGTCAGTCAGTATTATGGTTCCTGTTGTCTCCACTGCCAATCAAGTAAAATATATTTTGTGTAATTTAATATAAAAAGGCGTCGCAGCCACACAACAAGTATCAGATTATTTACATTGCGGATCTGTAGCTTATGAATTGCTGTTGTGGGGTTGTTCATTCAGGAAGGTGCCGTATTTACAACGTGTTCACATAACATATTGCAACACCGTTCACGGCATGTACTGTCGGAAATGCTAGAAAAATGCTTTTTAGCCTTAATATCTTTATAAAGGTGATAAATGTACTATGTTGTCAATATATCAACTCGCCTATTGTCTACCTAATTTTTATTTCAATCGATTTAACATTCCCATGCATTTAAAGGGCAGTTTACAGGAGAGAATTTGGTACCAAAACAGCAACTTAAGATTTTTTCAGAGTTCAACAACAGAAATCTGAAATAGTCTTTACATTTATGCTAATAATACAGGTGGTGTAAAAATATGAATTAACGTTTATCCTAAACAAATAAATGTTGAATGTTTGTGTTACTTTACTAAAGTATCGTTTTCTTTATTGAAGAAATATTAATATAAATGTTAAGTCTTGATAAATAAGTTTCCCGTCATGCATGCACATCTTTATCACAGCGTCCACTATGGCCAACGATTTGCAGTCGATTGTTGCAAAGGTTTATAGTTTTTTTCTGCTTAAAAAAGACAGAGGTAAACCTTTCATTAGTTTAGAAAGGGTTTATTACAGAACTTGTAGAGCTGTTGGCATGTCTTACCAACAAGTTTACAATATTGTAAACAAATCAGACAAGACAGGGACCGTCTCAAATGCAAAACCGGGACGTAAAACCATCCTTGACAACTTTGACAAGGGAGTGCTTAGACGGGCGGTCTACAAACTTTATGAGAAGAAAAATATATATATTCTAAAGAAGCTACACCAGTGACTTCGTTAAATCTTTGGCCAATGTTCACAACTAGATTAAACTGACCGAATTACATCCATATTTTTCAATGAAATATACTGTTGACATGCAAAACATTTATTAAAACGTTGCACATTTCTACAATCAGTCGATAAGATAACACAAGTGATAGGATTCTTTCCAATGTACAGTAATTCGTATGTTTATTTCAAAACAAACACACATACACAAATGATCCCTTACATAACTGATACGTATACTATACGTACACATATTCAACATTTTGCAGAAAACATCTATTGAGATGACCCCTCGCCCCGAGCGTGTGCTCAGGTGTCAATTTCACCTGTCGATACCGTGCATGCTGATGACGTAACACAGGCAGTTAATGTTTGTTTCAAATAACGTCCAACTACCCCTTATTTTTCTAAGTTTTTGGTATTTTCATCAGTAAAAACACATTTTAGAGCATGTCTCAAAATTTATTCCCTCGGTCTACATTAGGTAGATGTTTCTTGAAGTGATATTTGTTATTTAAGTAACTGTAATACCTCTGAATTTTAAATATAAGTCAAAAAGCATTTTTCTAGCATTTCCGACAGTACGATAGATAGATAAATAGAACGATAGATAGATAGATAAATAGAACGATAGATAGATAGAACGATAGATAGAAGGATAAGATAGATAGAACGATAAAACGATAGATAGATAGAACGATACATAGAAGGATAGGATAGAACGATAGATAGATAGAACGATAGATAGATAAATAGAACGATAGATAGAATGATAGATAGATAGATAACAAATCCACCAATTGCATATACTTATTTTGTGAAATTTTACATTTTAGGTCCCCTTGTTAACAGTCTATTTGCTCAAGAAACAATCTTTTAGCGATGTAGATGAAGAAAGTTCAAGCTGATCCGTATTATTATGAGAGTGGGAGGGTAAGAGTATTCTACTTAATCTCATCGGGGCATAAAATTCCACATAGGCGGGGAACACCGAGTTTAGAAAAGCTTTACTTATTTCACGTCTTCAGTAACCCATGCTAGTCGTAAGCGACTAACGGGACCGGGT